CTGTTCGAAACATCTGATTATAATTCAGAATGTCCAGAGAGACCATAGGATTACATGAGGACATTCTTCCATGTCAGGACACAAAAGCAGAGCTTTTTTCATGTGGTTTCTAAATGTAAAACTTCAAGGACTTAATTACTCATTGCAACATTGCAGAGGCTATAATATCAACTAAAGTCACACTACCCAACGCATTGTGGAAATTATTTTTAGGAGAAATTCTCTCTTATATTGCTCTGATCAAATAAAGCTGACTTTATTGATCCCACAGTGGGGAAATGAGTGCATTACCACAGCTCAGGTAGCAAAGGAGTACAAAATTGACCAAGAATGCACAAAATATAAAAAATCAAATAAGACAAAACACTATATATGACACAAACAACAGTAGTTCCTATGTACTGTAGATACACACAGTAAGCATTATGGATAGGGGATTGTGAGACAATGTAGATGTTAAATTAAAATTAAAAATAAGACATTTGTTTAGCACTGACCAGGAAGTGATTTGAAGTTTGTTAAATATGCTCCACATATTCATAAATGACAGAAAATAAACACTTGACTATTTAACAGAAGATGTAGATATTCAAATATTTTAAGGCATACCGTATTTTCCGGAGTATAAGTCGCACCAGCCATAAAATGTATAATGAAGAAGAAAATAAGTCGCACTGGACTATAAATCGCATTTTGGGGGAAATGTTATTATTTTTCTTACAAAATCTGAGACCAAGCATTTCACATTGCAGGCAAGACAAGTATCGGTAAAAATAACAATAAATAACGCAGGCGCAGCAGTGCGCCACAGTCTCCAGCAGAGGATGGTGGTGTTTGAACCCCCCACCCCCCCAGCGGGACAGGGGAGCTCATTCCTGGGTCGGAGCCGGCCCGCAGCGGCGCGCCACAGGCTGCAGCAGGTGATAGCGGGGCAGAGGAGCTGAAACCTGGGCCAGATCCAGTGCGCAACGGCGCGCAACAGGCTCCAGCGGGTGATGGCTGTGTGGTTTTTATTCCCAGCGGGGCAGGGGAGCTCATTCCTGGTCCAGAGCCGGTCTGCAGCTGCGCGGTATAGCCTACATAATTTGGTATATAAGTCGCTCCGGAGTATAAGTCGCAGGATCGGCCAGACTATGAAAAAAAAGTGACTTATAGTCCGGAAAATACGGTACTTGGAAGTATATGCGACTGTTGTATTTTGCTAATGCTGATGACATAATCAACCGTTCTAACAGCTTTATTGTAATGTAATATTCAGTGTGTGTTTAATACTTGTGCAATTCCAGATGAACATTAGTATGTCTGTATCCTTTAAGCTGCATAGTTCTGGAAACCCAAGTTTCCATTTTATTTGTGGCTTTTAGTGGTTGAATGTCACAATATTTGTGTGTTTATCCATAATCTTGTTATTATCTTTCTTCTTCCTTTTCTTTAAGTGTATGTGCTGCTGTAGCAAGTGAATTCCCCCACTGTGGGATCAATAAAGTCTATTAAATTCCTGAGTAGATCAGAAGCAATTTTGCTGAAGTTCAGTCATAAACATACCACATACAATATAACTGTCTGTCCCCACACAGGAAGGAAGTCTGGTGGGTGCAGGCATAGCTAATGGACAATCTGAGGTAAGGGTTTGCAGTTTCAGATCGGTCAATGGAGGAAAAAAAAACTGCTTGAAATATTTTAAGACACTAAAACTTAAAACTGTTATAATAAATCTGCAAACAAGCTTGGTTCTTAATGAAAAACATGGTCATGGAACACTCAACCCTCCCCTCGGGTATCTTCCCTATAGGTAGTTTTCCAGGAGCTTTACTCAGTAACTCGGGCCGATGCAGCTCAGCCCGACCACAGTTTCCAAGGGCACGGTTCGGTATTTTCCCTCTACTTTCTCCCCAAGTTTTAGTCCGTGCTGCACTGAAGTACCTGGCAAGGCTGAGTCGGGCGGCATCGTGACTTTGGCTGCTGACAGGCTGAGCCACTGGTTGCTCAGAGTTTTCTGCCTTCTGCTTCACTGCCTGCAGCCATTTCCTGGTTCAGAGTCTGACAAAAAGCCATAAAATTGAGGAACATGTCCAGCAACGCCACCATTTTTGTGCCGAGTTGTGTTTCTGTAGCGAATACAGGTAACCTTACACTGTTTACTGTTCACCTCATGCTACTTTGTCATGAGTAAAATAATATATCCCTCGCACCATCAGAGCTGTTTCAGGCTTAGTGCTCATGGAAAATTTATTTTCGATGCTTCTGCCAGAACCGAAAACCCTCAATGCCAGACGAAACAAGCTAGCACTGAATTAGGGTTGTCACAGTAACGGGTGTAGCGGTA